TGCTCTCTACCGGACAGGATGGAACTCCAGTATGAACTCAAGTCGAAGTGACTGTGACCTGTGGATGAGTCTATGTGGGAGCAGGACAACCTGAGGTGTTAAGCCTGTGCCAGAGCACATAACCTCAAAGCACCCGTGTCTATGGATAAGCCCATGCTGCAGCAGGTACACCATGAAGCATGAGTAGCTGTGCATAAAGTCACGCTGGAGCACCTCAAAGTGTGTGGCCATAGATAAGCCCACAACAGAGCAAGTACACCCCTGGAGGGACTGCAACTATGGGTGAGGCCACGTTGGAGGTTCACTCCTGAAGGAACTGTGGCTGTGGGTAAGGCCATGCTGCAGCAGGTACATCTCTGCTGCATGGATAAAGCCACAGGGGAACAGGCGTACCCCAAAGCAACTGGTTGTGGATAAGTCTATGCCACAGCAGGTATACACCTGAAGTGGCTTACAGATAGCAGCTACACCCCTAAGGGACTGCAGTTTGGGGATAAGCCCAAGCCAGAGCAGGGGCAAGGGAAGAAGTTCATTGCAATGTTAAATCTGATGGTCTGGTCCAAAGGGACCAGGGTGGAAATTGCAATGGAAACACCTTTCAATTGTTGAAATCCATGATTAGAGTTGAATGTTATAGGAATTACTATAGTAGGAACCACCTGAACAAGCAGAACAAGCCTTACAAGAAGCAGTGAAAGTGCAGTAGTGACTTGACCTGAGCTGGCTTTGGTGCCTAATAACTCCATGCAACACACCACGTCTCCTGTCCTGAGTCATAACAGGCAGAGCCCAAAGTCATGGACTAAATGAACTCAATGGACATTTGTGGACATAGAGCTAATTTTCTTCATAGTAGCTATTACACAAGCTACTACTTGCTATTAGCAAGTGGCTGTCTGTGCTTAGTTGCCATTTGGGGTTAAACCATGACACCAGCCTAGGAAACTCTGGGTGCCCACCACCCCTCCCTGCCATCGGCTCACAGCCCATGGAGCAAAACCAAGATCCTTTCAGACCCCCATGCAGACAGGTCCAAAGTCTAGCCCCACAGGAGTTATTGTGCACCTCCCGTCCTTCCCAATGCTAAGCCCTCACCATGCCAACCACCCAACAGGCCACGTTGGCCAAGGGGAAAACACAGCCTGATAAGTGTCAGATCAAAGCTCTCGTCTGACTGCAGCTGGAGGCATCTCCACCACCCTCAAAAGCTGTGTTGATGAGGGTGGACATGGAGGTAATGTTCCCCAGCTAGCTGCCACGCCACAGGGAAGGCAGGATGAGCCCCCGCAGGGGACTGCAATGGCATTTCCTGGATGTCAGGAAGCAGAAGCGATAGCTGCCTTGTGACTCCAGAAAAAAAAAAAACAAACCCTCTTCTTCTGGGCTTAGCCTTCATTTCAGAGGTATTGAACTATCCCACTGTTTCCCTGCCAAACTGCCATGCCTCCCCCCACGCCTGTGCTGAGCTGGCAGCACTTGAGAACCCACCAGCAGACAACCCACAGTTGGACACAGTGATGGTCACCATGCCAGTATGGAAGCACTTATGCACAAGCTTATCCTGCTGGCAGCACTGAGGTTTGGGCTCCCCAAAAAATGAGGCAGGATAGAGAGCTGAAGGGACCAGTTCATAGGGGAAGAAGAGGTGAGGAACAAGAACATCCCACCTGGGCAGAGCCATGGTGAAGGGTTTTCCTGACGCAGAAAGGTACTGCGTCCAGAACCGCACATTGGGCTCAGATGGGCAGTAAAAGGCATGGGTTGAAAGCAAAAACACTACATGGGCTGAGGTGGGAAGGGAGAAATGATGCTCAGCAGTGTTGCTTTGCTTCCCAGCCCCTAGACTTGGAGCTGGCTGAGCGTGGGACAAGTCTTGGGATGCCCAAAAAGGCCATGAGAGCTCTCAGGCTGCTCTTGTGCAACTCCAAGAGTTGATTTTCTCCCAGGCAAAACACCGAAATGACCGAGATGTTCAGCTGAACAAGGCAGCTCATAAACACCCCTGAATGCCGGCTGATGGCTCGTTCCTGGAGAAGAGTCCAAGTTTGACGGAACATTTTCCATCGTGCTGAAAACAAGTATAAAAATCACCAGTGGTAAAGTTTCCGTGCAATAAAAATCAGCAGGAAAATGAGAGCAAGGTCAACATGCTGACAATCGAGGCCTTTTTGTAAGCAAGCTCCCATTCCAACTGGCAACAGTTTTATGCCCAGGAGCGAGGACTGCAGATGGGATCCTAAAAACTAGCGTATGGCAGAGACTCAACTTATACATCCCTAACTCGGGGGCAAATGGTTATCTCCACTACACAGGCATGGGTGCAGTCCCAGAGTGGGGGAGCCTGTGTTTGCTTTGCTATTTTTTAATCTGGGACTAAAATTTCCTCTTAAACAAAGTTGTTTACAACAGGGCCGAACCAGACGTCAGAAGGTGGTTGGAAGTTGGCCCCCAACCCTTCTCCCACCCAGCTGGACACACTCCAGCACTTGGGACCCTCCTCCAGAAAAAAGTGCAGCCCCTTCCACACTGCAGACATGCCACCCACCCTCAATACATCTTCCAGCTGAGGGGCTCGAGTCAACAGAGATACTGGGGGCGCAGGGTGAGAGCTCCTCAGCATGTTTTGTGTTCAGTCCCACCACTGAGGGCCACAGGCAAAGATAAAGAGCCTTAAAAGACGCCAGGGGAAGTTAATTTTCCTTATGCAAGCAAAGCTACAGGAAGGGAGGGAGATAGACAGCAAAAATCCTGGGGATCTCCTGCCTTGAAGGCCAGATCCCCTCCTTGGGCTGCAGTGACAGTACCACTGGGGTGACCAGCAGCCGTGACCAGCAGCACGGGGTCCAGCCACATTGGACATTGCACCCGTGGGATTAACGAGCCCTGACGCCGAGACCTTTGAGACAAGACCACAGGCTCAGCCTCCTGAAACCTTCATGGGGCTGTCACAGGGCCCCCCACTTCGCACAGCTTTGCAAGCTTCTACTAACAGGAGCACGGCTTTCCTCGAGACACGGCTCCTGCCCCGGCTCCCGGCACGGGGCTCCCTACCCAAACCGCAAAGAGGACAGAAAGTTATTTCACATCCTCCCGTGCCAAAACAACACGTCTCTCCCGAAGCGCCCCAAAGGCCGCGGGTCGGCTCGCTCGCTCTGAAGTCTGCGCACGATGCTGGTTTGAATTAGGCCTGAAGAATTCAGACCCAGCTCCTCCGACACCGCCCATTCTCCAGGCAGCACTAATAAAAGCAAAATAAACGCCGGGGGGGGAAACACTCAGACACTGACTCCAGGGTTAGTCACTTTTCCTCTGTGCCCACACTCCCATTTTAGGGCAAGCAGGAGTCTCCACGGGCTGCAGATGCAAACGAGCCACATTTCTCCACAGGAAAAGTTTTTCCAACCCCTTTTTGCGCTAATCCCACTCTCTAGGAGCAAGGCTGCGATGTCTGCCGAGCCCCCAGCCCTCCCTCTGCCACCTTCGTGGCCATGCCCTGGGTAGGAGGGTGAGGGAGGCTTCTCTCCAAGCCTCAGCTTCAGCAGAGAGCCAGACAAATTCCTGGGGTCCTAGGAGCCAGCAAGCGGCAGGGAAGCTCCCGGAGGCATGCAACAGCCCAGCCAGGTCTGCATGCATTTCTCTGCCTGGCAAAGGCTAGAAAACATTATTATTGTTTTAAACCCTTCTGGGGGTAGGAAGAAGAACAGTAAATCCCACACACACAGGGTTTTATACTGGAGGCAACACAGGGCTGGGGTTTGGTCCCTCGAACTGGGGGACCCTCCTGCAGCAGCACCACGACAAAACAGGTCACACCAACAGCCCCACTGAGCTAGTGTGGGCTGCAAAGCCACCGCAGCCTTTGGAAGGACAAACCACCGCAGGCATCTGTGCCACAGCTTCCCAGGAGTGACAGACCCCGAGGGAACCCTCCCAGGATGCAGAGGGACCTCCCAGCACCCTGTCCTTCCCAGGGGGAGAAAGGATCCCATGATGCCTTGTCCTGCACAACGCCCTTACTGAGGGGATGGAGGGACCCTGAGACACCCCATCATCCACAACACCCTTCCTGGAGCACATGTGACATCCTACCCCCCGTGATGCCCTTTCTGGAGCATCCACAGGCCCTGAGATACCCTGTATCTTTCAATGCCCTTCCTGGGTCATACATACACAGACCCTGTGCCTTCCCATCCTCTGTCACACCCCTCCCAGAGCACCCCCAAATCCTGCGATGCCCCAGCCCCCATGACACCGCTCTTGAAGCACACACAGCCGCTGTGATGGTGGATGACATCCTGCAAAGCCCTTCCCAGGACATGTCAGGACCCCATGATACACCCCCTATGGTGCCCACAGACCCCGTGACACCAACCCCTTGCAGTGCCCTTCCTGGAACACTCATGGTCCCCATGATTCCCTGTCCCCAGCAATGCAACACCCTTCTTGGAGCACGCATGGACCTCACCACACCCTACCTCCCGCAACGCCCTCCCTGGGGCACGCATGGACCCCACCACATCCCATCTGCTGCGACACCCTTCCTGCCACCCACACGGCCCCGTGACACCCATGCCGGGACAAACGGGGACCCCCGTGACGCCCACCCCAAAGGCCTCCCCTGCTCCGTCCCCGTGGGCGAGGGGCGATGCCCGGCGGGACCCACTCACCGCTCATCGGGCGCGCGGCCCTGCTGCAGGGCGGGCTCCAGGGGCACCAGGGCCTGGCCCAGGAACCGGTCCATGCCCACCAGGGCCCGGTGCATGACGGCCGCAAGGCCCCCCCCCCCCCGCCACTCCGGGTTGCCGGTGCTCTTCTCGGCCACCGAGGTGCTGTACTTCTCGCGGCCCAGCTGGATGATGGTGTAGGCGTCGCTGGTGCCCGGTTTGCCGCCGCCGCCCTTGCACCGCAGCCCGCGGGCCCGCACCACCGTCACCTGGACGTGGGTGGGCAGCCAGGCCGGAGACCCCTCAGCGGGAAGCGCGGCCGCCCGCAGCAGCGCCATGGCGGGACCGCTGAGGAGGGGCCGGGC